AAGGAAAACCAAGATTCAAGAGACAACCAAGCATCTTAACATTATTCCCCCCTTTTCTCCATTCCAACCATGTCTCAATCTCTGTAGCCCAGAGCTCTATTGTTCCAAGGTTGTGCATACATCATTATTTACCTCTGTCCCACTTAGCCCATTCAAACCTGCCTAACTGATCTCTAATCTGCTTTGTTCTTCCATTCCTCTCTGCCTTCTTGTATATTACATCACTCCCCAGCACCCAAACTATCCTGTGTCTAATCCCTGCCCTTTATTCCACCTTTGCTCCCTTCCCTCACCCACCCCCAACATCTCAGCAATCAACAAAGAATTCCCTGCACTCCCCTTTATTATGGGTTCTTTTTCTTAGTCTTTTATAGTAGTGGTTCTATGCAGTGTTTCTCTTTTTGTGACTAATTTCACTCAACATAATGCCCTCAAGGTTTATCCATGTTACGAGGTGGCTTGCAGCTTCCTTGTTATTCTTCAAGGTAGCATAGTATTCTATTGTGTGTGTGTACCACAGTTTGTTTACCCATTCTTCAGTTGATGGGCACTTTGGCTGCCTCCATTTTTTGCTATTGTAAATAGTGCTGCTATAAACATTGGTGTGCATATATCTTCTCGTGTTGTGGCTCATTTTTCTTGTATGTAAATACCAAGTAGAGGAATTGCTAGATCATAAGGTATTTCTATTTTCAACCTTCTGTGGAAATGCCATATTGCTTTCCAGAGAGCTTAGACCATTTTGCAGTCCTACCAGCAATGCAGGAGTTTCCCAGTCTTGCCACATCCCCACCAGCATTTATTGTCCTCTACTTTTTAAATCTTTTCTGTTATTGCTGGTGTGAAATGATATCTCATTGTTGTTTTGATTTGCATCTCTCTAATGGCTAGTGATCGTGAACATTTCTTCATACGTTGGCTGCCCAGATTTCTTCCTTGGTGAAGTGTCTATTCATGTCCTATGCCCACTTTTTAATTGGGTTATTTGTCTTTTTCTTATAGAGTTGTTGTAGTTTCCTATATAGTTTAGAAATGAGTCCCTTGTCTGATGTGTCATTGCAAAATATTTTTTCCCATTCTGTGGGTTCCCTGTTTACTCGTCTGGTGAATTTCTTTGATGCACCTAAGTTTTTAATTTTTAGTATGTCCCACTCATCTATTTTGTCTACTTTTGTTTGTGTAGTTTTCAAAATTTTTTGTGGTTTGTGTATTCCCTGAATTAGTGCCCTCACATTTGTCCTGATTTTTTCATTGATGGCCTTCATAATTCTGGGATTCACATTT